GAATGTTGGCAGGATTTCATGAGGAGAAGGTGAGAGCACAAAACTGTGATAAGTCTGAAAGGGAAAGGAAGAGAAATCATTATGAAATACTCTCAGAGCATTTATCATACAATAAAAGCTTACCTCCTAGGATAAAGTATAATACCAGAAGATAATCCCTGCGGAGTGTTATCACTCCCGCCCTATTTTACTGTGTTGGGTTGCCACGGAGGAGCGTGAATATGGTCCATGGGGGTCAGGACTGCAAGAAAATAGACGGTAAATATTACAACCAGTCCAGTGACTAGAAAACAATAAGAGAAATTATACCACTTGTGAGTATAAGTCAGCCGTGAGACCAAGCTCACTAGAAGACTGAGATTTAATTGTAAGATTATAGAACACTTTCTCTCTGACATTTAACCAACAGATCATCTTGGTTCTAATATAATAACCCTGGGAGATGTTGAAAGACCTGCAAGACACAGAGTCTCTGAGGGATAAAGCTTTAAAAATATCAAATTCAAGAGGTGACAAAAATGTTATAGATTTGAAGCTTTGTGTACCTAGTGTGGAAGCCAACAGATATTGCAATACATGTGAAACATCAAGAAAAGCATAAACTCAAGATACAAAGGAGTCATCATACTTGGATTCAAATGGAAAATAGACTTTGAGATCATCAAAATGATTATTTAAAACAACAGTGATCAGTATATTAAGGCTAAATGGATAAACAAAAAAGACCCAACAACAAATATATACTATAATCAGATAAGAATTCTAATAATCAATCAAAGAAAATGCTAGATATTAAAAGCCCTGTGACATAATTGAAAACTCTGAGCTCTGTTTACTGAATGTAGAAAAGAAAACAATTAGTGATCTGGAAGACAGTCCAATAGAAATTTTGCAAACTGAAATGTGATGACAAAAAATGAAGGAAAATAAAAGAGAACAGAAGAGTAAACTCCAGGAAATGCAGGCCAGTATCAAAAGCTATAAAGTATATCCAAGTAGAATAGAAGAGAGAACACAAGCAGTAACGACTTGAAACTTTCTGAAATTAATGATATATACCAAACCACAAATAGAATAGCACATAAAATACCAAGTAAAACAAATGCAAAAGAGCACATTTATTTTGAAAATTGTATAATTAGCATTATAACTCTGAATAAACAAATGGAGGTACAAAAATAGCGTAAGATTGTTCACTATGAATTCACCATGAATTTCTGGCAGTCACCAGTAAATTACTATTGAATTTTTTATCACATACCTGCTCATTTCAAATTTTTAATTTTTTCAATTACTAAAATAAATAGAAATCCCCCACAAACTTGTTGTGATGGTTAATTTTATGTGTTAATTTGGCTAAGCTATGGGATACAGATATTTGGTTAACCATCAGCTTACACGTCAACATGAATATACTTTTTAGATCAAATTAACATTTAAATCAGTAGAACTAACATATCAGATTAATCCAGTCTGTTCAGAGCCTTAAATGAAGAAAGGTTTTGGTCCTCCAAGCTAGAGAGAAAACTGTTTCCAGACTGGTTTTCAATTCCAAGTGCAGTATCACCTCTTTCTTAGGTCTGGAGCCTTTCAGGCCTGCAGATTTCAGATTTCAGATTTGCCAACCTCCACAATCATGTGAAGTAACTGCTTAAAATAAATCTGTCTTTTGCTGTTGGTCTTCCCATTCTTTTTCTCTGTCTGTCTCTCTCTGTCTCTCTTCCCCTTTCTTCTTTTCCTCTCCTTCTCTGTATATACTTTCTCCTCTTCTACTAGCCCAGACACACACACACACACACACACACACACACACACATGGTTATCCTGTGGGTTCTGGTACTCTAGAGGAAGAACTCTGCCTAATATTCTATCTTTCCAGGTATATGTTCAAGTATTTTCATATAAATATATTTGATTCCCCCGAAGTACATTATTTGCATTCCAATAATATAAATACCATTTCCACTAAATTTTCTTCTCAATATACTTTCTGTCAAAATCAATTTTCGATATCTGTATATATAAAATACACAGTGACACAGATCAAATGATTTGAAATATCACTTTTCCCTGAGATTTTACTGATTTATCCAAAATAAATGTATTTCCCTAATGTACAATTTTTATAGTTTTTTATCATTTTCAAAATATTATCAGATTATATACCACATTATAAATATTTTACTTTCCTATTGCTATGTTTTAGACATCTTATGTTGAACTAAAAATGATTCTTTATGTCTTAATGATTTGCGTTGTCAGAAGGTTTCATGCTTAGTCTGTTTTTTAACTCTTACTATTTAACTCTGTTTTTAATTATCGTTACATATTCTTATTCACAAGTCATCTACAGGTCCTCGCTGGGACCAAAGTTCAAGGAGCAGTATTGGCTTGGAATGTCCTGGTCTTATGGAAGAATGAAATGGATCATTTAAACAAGATAGTTTCTCATTATCTTCTGCTCAGAAAATGTACATGCCACATTCACATATCCACTCAAGTTTCCTCAGTCACAGAAGGTGACATCTCCAAGCCTTTATAAGCCTCACTTCAATTTGAGAAGAAAATGGAAATAGAGCTTTTGCAAACAGGAAAGGGACTTTTGTTTCCGTTTTTTCCTTCTTACCTTCAATTTCTTTTCCTTTCCTTTCTTTCCTTTCTCCTGCCCCTCCCCCATTCCCCTTCCCCTTTGAATATGTTCTTCCTATTTCACAATATCTATTATACATTTTGGTCCTCATTTACACCTTCTGTTTCTCACACCAGAGAAAGGATTCGGTATTTACACATGTGTCCTATTTATTTCATGTATGTATATGGGGGGTGGAGGTGTTGAAGGGAGGGTAGGGGAATGGGAAAAATATGAATCAAGATGTAGCATGTACAGGTACAAATTCTCAATGAGGAATATTATCATAAGGTGTACCTAAATGTACCGATAAATTCAATGAGAAAAAAGATTTCAAATTAAAACTAAAAAAAAAAAAATATGGAAGGGGCCCAAGAGTTGGGAGGATCTGTGAGGAAGAAGAGCGTTAGTGGATTAATAAATAGGAATAAATATGTTATATACATGTACTAACAGCCCAAAATAAATGTAGCCATTATGTACTCCATGCATGTAGTAAACAAAAAATGAAAAAATTTCAAATTAAAAAAATCCCCTCACTAATAACATATCCTTTCCTTATTTATTAACTTGAGTTGTATGTGTGCAGCACATTTATGTACTTGTATCGATCACTAATAGTAGCTCATCTGAAATAAAAAGCAATGTATACAGTTGATATATATCTTCTTGCAAAAGAAAAAACAATAGCAGATTCCAGCCAGATATTGACATGGGTCAGAAACAAGAAATGCACCGAGGGCATTAGTTTCCTAAACTGATTATAACAAATTACCACACACACAGTGATTAAAACAAAATAAATGTATTCCCTCATGGTTCTCAAGGTCAAACCCTAAAGTTATTAAATGGTTGAAACAAAGCTATTGTCACGTGGCACTTTCTTGGGAGAATCTAGGAGAATTGTTTCCCTGTCTCTTTCAATTTCTGCTGGCTGCTGCCTTTGCTTAGCCTGCAGGTGATTAAGGCAACATGGAAGGCCAAATCACCCTGTGTATGTCACACTTCCCTCTGTGTGGGAAATCTCTTTTCTCATCCTTATGGAGATACATGTGAATGCATTTAGGACTCACCTGAAGAATTTAGGGTAATGGACTTCTCAAACTCTATCCCAACATCTTTAACTTAATTATATCTACAGAGAAATTTCATGTCTTTCTTTTTTCCCTCAATGAAATATTATTTAGTATATCAAGGATAAGGATATGAATATATTTTGGCTGCCATTTTTCAGCCTACATTTAACCTATCTCTTTTTTTCTTGTTTTTGCTTGGTTCTATGGCTAGTCCTCTAGCCACAGAAGGTACTAAACTTTTCTGATACTTTATCCACATACAGGAGTGAAACTGAACCATTTTCATAGAACGTGTACTTTAAGCTACACGGAGGGGGAACTGTTGCTGAGTCCCAAATTCAGATTTTTTAGAATTGAAAAGCTTATTTTCCAAGCATTTCTAATGAGTCCAATCTATGTCCACTCAAATATGACCAGGTGGCTGTTTTCAGACCTGACTCCTGGAACTTTTCCATTATAGATGACCAGTTCTGAATGGGTAGATAATAGTTATAGCTGTGCAAATATTCTGAAAAGAATCAATCAACTTAACATTAAATGTAATGTCTAGGGGAAAACCTAGACCATGGAAAATGCAATTATAGCTGCATTCATTAAATCTTTAAAATAGCCTCACCATTTATTTTTGGAAGATTTTATACTTTTCTTAAACTTTATTGAAGTCAACTCATTGATATAAAAGCTATTACCAATAAGCTTAGTAATACAGTTTCTGATGAATCACATTTGATAAACTCACATTTTGTTCTTAAAAGTTAGTAAGATGATAAGCTGACAAACTCAGCTGTTCTGGAAGGTAAAGCATTTTGATTTCTCTCAGGGATAGACAAATGTTCCTTCTGGTATTGTGAAAGGGCTGATTCATCAATATATGGAGGGCTGCATATTGATTTATACCAAGGAGACATGTCAGAATACTGAAGTCCTGTGAAAATGAGCTCCATGGTAGCCTGCATTGGAGTGTTTAATGACACGGTGTTTTACATATCACAGAGAAAGCCTGTTTTCAACTTCTACCAGGTCTCCTTCTTTCTTGGTAGAAGAATCCCTTTGTAGTTCAGAGGCATTTTAGCCAGGTTTTCTTAAAAAATAATAGCACTGTGCCTTTGTATATTGTTTTCAAAGAAATTTCTTCACTTTTTATTTCCACAATACTTCTGAGATGAAAAATGTTATGTGCATGAAAGATGAAAACATGGAGACAAAGATTAAAAGGCTGTTCCATGAAACAGTCTGAGAAGTAATACTAAAAAAAATCATTTTTATACAAAATGGATGTTGAAATTTCCTTCTAGGAAGGCCCACTGGGGAGAAAAGAGTGAGCTGACATGATCAAGAAGTGGTTTTCAGTGACTGTGATCAACAAGGAAAGGGAAAGACAAACTCTCCTCCCACTGAAGTCTTCATAGCCATACATCACTTCTTTCCTTCTTCTAACCTTGTTTCAAATGCAGCCGTATTCAGGTAGGACACATACAGTAAAGAAAAATCCTTCTTAAGATGAATACTATTTCTTTATGTTGCAGTAAAGTATGAAGACGTGTTATGTAAAACACCCTTATTATTAAATATAAATATATAAGAGGCAATCAAAATATACATTGAGTGCTTAAATTTTAAAATATTCATTACAGTAAAAAACCATATTTTCATTAATCTCTTTCAAAATATTCCCCATTCCTTTGAATACCCTTTTCCCTTGGTTCTTACCATTTTCTAAAGCAGGGTTTGAAGTCCTTTTTCATGAATTTCTTTGTGAGATGGTATCAAAAATATGTTGAATGTCGCTGCTGAGTACCATCCAAAAGAAAGACAGGCTTATAACATCAGTGTGTCCTCATCCAAATTATTCACTGGACCTGACACTATTCAACTTCTGTCTCTTAGATTCAAAATAACCATGAAAGATAAGTTTCGAACCAATTCTGCCAATTCTGGGCATAGCAGCAGCCATGACATCTCAATTAAAAACACCCAATGAATGAGGACTTCCAGAAGGGCTTGAGATAGTGCCAAGAGGAAGGGATAAGTGTGTCTGAAGCAAGGAGTGGTTTTCTTTTTTAGGGAGGGGGGTCAATGGAAATGTGTCTTTTACTGTAATAATAATATTCACTGTGTATTTCAATCACACCACACATAATACTATATTGTTTACTGTAAGCTAAATGTCATACGGCAAATCTATAATTTTCTATTTCATGTACCTGGAAATGCTATAATTACTGAACAACTCTCTCCAATTCTGATTCCACTTTGCATTCCCATGTATTTGTTTGCTTTAGCTACCTTCTGTAGTAGTCATTCTTATTTGTTGCTTTGCTTTCCCCATTTGGCTTACCTGCAGTTTACTTTGGTCTGGTAATATTACATGGGAAATTCTAGAAATTAACAAGTCATAAGTTTAAATTTGCTGTCAGAAGAGGATGACTAAACCTTGTGCCATCCTGTTACGTGCCACCGACACCTGAATCATCCTTTTCCCCAGCGTATCTACGCTTTGGATACTATTGGCCTGTTAGTCACTTAGCTCAAGCAGTCTCCCATGAGGCAGCTGGTCTCATGCTTGGTCACAATGGCCACACACTTCTCCTCCACCTCACTGCATAACAGCACATAGGCTATTGCATCCCCTGATGTCACTGCAAGCAGACGAGTAAGCAGAGCACAATAAATTATTTAGAGAGACAGAGTTCGTGTTCACGTAATTTTCACTACAGTATATTGCTGAAATTATTCTTTTAGTATTAGTCATTATTAATCTCTTGCTCTGGCTAATTTATAAACTAAATTTTATCATATGTATGAATGCACAGGGAAAACGCTGTTTTATAGGATTTGGCGCTGTTTGTACTTTTGAGAATATGTTGAGTGTCTTGCATGCTGTCTCCTGAAGCTTAAAATTCCTGAAATTATGTAGCATTTGTCCGTATGTGACGGGCACGTTGCACTTAACATAATGTCTTTATGTTTCTTCCATGCTGCATACGACAAGATTTCCTCCTCCTTTTAAGGCTAAATATTGCTTTATATACATACCAACAATATTTTCTTTATTCATTAATCTGTTGACAGACATTATTCTTGCACATTGTAACTTGTGCATAACTCTGTAATGAATATGGAGATGAAACTATTTCTTTGAGATACTGGCTTCAATCCTTTTGGAAAATAACCAGAAGGGAGATCGCTAAATCCTACAGTAGCTCCATCTCTTACTGTGAGAGGAATCTCCTTATTTTCCAGTAGTGATTGTTTCATTTTATTTTACCACCAAGAGTGTACAAGGGGTCCAATTTCTTCTATTGTGAACATTCATTATTCTTTTTTGTTTATGATAATGGTCCTCCTAACTGGTGTAAGATATTATCTCATTGTACTTTTGATTTGTACTTTGCTGAGGATTAAATGTTAAGGACCTTTTAAAATGTCCACTTGTTTTCTCTGGATAAACACCTATTCAAATCCTTTGCCCATTTATAAGTCAGGGTTTTTTTTATCATTTTGCTTTGGTTTTATGGGGTATTTTTAAATGAATTTTTCACATTAATCCTTTCTCAGGTATGTGAATTGAAAATATTTTTTCTCCCTAAGTATGTTACCTTTTCACTTTGTCGATTGTTTGTATTGCTGAGAAGAACCTATTTAGTTTCCTGTAATCCCACTTGTCTATTTTTAGCTTTCTTGTTTGCAGCTTCATAAACAAGAAATCATTGCCAAAACAAATGTCATGAAGTTTCCCTCCCCTATGTTCACAATTTCAGGCCTGGTATTTATCCACTTAATCTATTTTGAGTTTTCATTTAAGACAAGGTTTCAATTTCATTGTTTTGCATACATCCAGTTTTTCTAACACTATTTGTTTGAAAATCTAATGTTTTTTTCATTGAGTATTCTCAGAACCTTCATCAAACTAGGTTCATCATTTGGGTCCCTTTTGTTTCAGTGGTATATATTGAGTCTGTCTTAGTCTCAACAGCATATTGTTATTGTTTTAGCTTTATCATTGGTTTCAAAATGAGGAAATGAGATTCTTTAGCATTGACTTCTTTCTCAAGATTATATTTGTAGTCTTTTTTTGCTTCTATACGCATTTTTGGATATTTTTGTATTTCTGTGAAAAATTACACTAGTATTTTTAAAGAGGTTACATTGAAATTGCAAATTATTTATGGACATAATTGACAAGTCCAGAAAGAAGGCTGTGCTATGATACCACTGCTGAGTAGAGAGTCCTCTAAATTGAGATAAAGTGATCAAATAGAACCATCATTGTGAGTTGACTCAGGTATAATGCTCCAGAAGATCCTGCTTCAACAAGAGCAATTATTGCATCTTGTACATTTAAAAAAAGTCTTTATAGAATATGAATTTTTGTATTGGTCTTTCACATTTAAAGACAGTTCAATAAGACATTTTAAATGCAAATTCTCTGTAAATACAGAAAATGTCAGAGACACTAGAAGAAATTTTCCCAGGAAAGATTTATTTTTACAAGCTTGATACTAGCTTATCTTCCAAATAAAATATGAACATGTGAGGCAAATGTCATAATAACTAATGGTCAATATATACAGGAAAAATGTTCAGCACTTTGGCCACTAGAGAAATGCAAATTAAAAGAACATTGAAATACTATCTTCCTCCAGAAAGAATGACTAACGTTAAGAAATTAAATAAAAACAAATGCTGGTGAGTCTGTGGGGGAAAAGGACATATACTCTTGGTGGAAATGTAAACTAGTAAAATCACTTTGGAAATCGGTTTGGAGATTTCTCAAAAAACTAAAAACAGAAATTCATTCATTTCTGCTAGTCCGCTTCTAGGCATCTTCCCAAAAGAGTTAAAGATATCATATTATAATGATACATGCATGCCCATGATTTTAGAAGCACAACTTATAATAGCTAAATATTGGAAGCAGCATACATATTGGTCAACAGATGAGTAGATAAAGAACATGTGGTGTTTATACTTAGTGGGGTACTACTCTGTCATAAAGAAGGGTAAACTTGGGTCATTTTATGTAAATGAATGTACCTTGAGGCTGTAATGTTAAGTAAAAATAAATCAGATGCACAAGCTTAGATATTGCATGATTTCTCTCCCATAAGAAACCCAAAATAGAAGTAAAGAGTAAAATGAAAGACAGATAATAGGAGTAGTGAGATAGATGTTTTGCATTAAGGAAGAGAAATGAGATAGAGGCGTAGGGAAAGGGAAGGGGATGAAAAATGAATTAAATTGTGTAATGTACACGTACCAACTCACTGTGATGAATGCAATCATTATATACTACCAACATATACTAACAAAAATTCTAAAATATGGAAAAAATAACCAAAACCACACACAAGCTTATTCCGTATATAGGATGCTTCCAAGTGAAACATGATATAAAAAATACAATATCACCTTGATGATTTCAAAAATTTTTCAACACAATTCCAAAATAATGTGCACACACACACACATATTCGTTGCATAAGTAGCCCAAATTTGTACAACTACTTTCACAAATAAGACATAATTTACAGATAAGATGTGATTTATTTAATTACATCTACTCAGATTTTTTATGGAACCCTCAATAGTCCTCTTCAGGTGAATTAAAAAAAAAGCTTTCTGACATAATATAAAATTTGTCATTTGCATGTGTATAATAGGGGGGCCATTCTTGCTTATTAAATTTATATACAAAACTGTTTTTCCATAGTTGGTAACACTGAATTCCTGACATCTTTGCCAATGGACTGACAATGGACTGTAGAGTAAATTATAGATTCCCCTATAATTCATAGATGGAAATTATCGACTCCTTTCTGATAACCCATACTCTGAAACCTATTTTTATGTTGAAAATTCTTTCAGCCTTCAAGAGTATAAACGTTGTACCCTGGACATTTATCCAGTACCATTACAATTGTCCTTCACTCTCCAGTATTTCAAACCAATGTAATGCAACTTTCTTTTCCCTAAATCATGTACTAATTACTGCTAGCTAGAATGCAATTAGCAATGAAGAATTTGTGCTTCCAGGACAGCTCCTTGCTTTTCTGCTAATTCAACATCTATATATTGAGTACTATACTGTCGGGAGCAATGCTACATAATTTTAGGGAAAAATCATTTGGTTAGCCTATTTCTCCTGCCTACAACCCAGCTATGGAATTCCGAGACATAATTGCATTTTGGCCTCAGGTCACAACTGAGACCTCAATGATCCGGTGATGCTGTGATTCTCCAGGACAAGAAACATCCTGGGAGCTGAAAACCTCCTGGGAGGAACAAAACATCCACTCAGTTCCTCATTGTTCTTGGATCTTTACCATCTTGTTTACGCGGATGTACTGAACTCTCTGTAAGCCATTTGTTACCTTTGTTTCTCCGGATGGATGTACTGAATAAATGGTGCAGTAAGCTGGGGGCTTTTGTCTTTGCTGCCCAGAGCAGCACTGATCAGGCCC